AGTATAATCCGTTAAAGCTGAAGTTCAGAATACAACTACTTCCATTCGAACAGAACTCATCGGTACAATGGATATAAAATCAAACTTCTCAGTGATTTACAAAAAACCTGACCACCTGTCATAGATAACCTGAATCAGTATTCTGTAAACGGCAGAGCCAAATGAAACTGAGTATATAAAACAAGAACTATATGTGCGAAAAAGCCTGCATGACTATTTGGATTTCCATGAACATCAATTTTGAGACTGATCCCTTAATTTGTAAATGACCATAAATAGTGTATCTTGTTTGTGTATTTTTTGTTTGCATGTGTATCACTAGGTGTTTTCATCTACCAGTTTTAATTCTCAAGTGTTTCTTTATCTGCTTTTACAAAATGTTCATATACTCTTTCATTTATTCTATTCTCTGACATTTTGGATCTCCGCATTGATCAGTCTCAGTGGACAGAAGTTGTGGAAGACCATATTTACTTGATTATTTTCCACTCATAGGTTAATCTGGTATACCTAATAATATGTTTCAAGAGATATTTCTGTTATACACGTACATTTATAGCAGTGGAATAGAATAGATTATCATTAATCCTGTATATCTGATTAACAAGATGAGTACCAGAAACATGATGAAGGATGATATGCGGAGAGTGATTGTTTGCAGTTCAAAATTAACTAAGATGAAACAAATCAAATGTGCAAATCACCGTAACCAAAAGGCTTATATTTCATCACAGTAACAACATATTAGGTGTGTGTATTTGGTAAACACACGCACATATTGATAAAGCGCAATTTCTTGGACATAGTTTACTACAAATCACGAAAACAAAGTAGGTACGTAAAACTCTATCGCTGGATGTTGATGTTTTCTTTTTTAAAAACAAAACTAATTTATAGAGTTTCATTCTGTTGCAGTGCAAAGTTCTTTCCCTTATGTTAAATAAGCCGAAAAGACTTTGGAATGCCGCTGGAAAGTTTTTGTAGCTGTCCTGTATCGTCTTAGAAATAAATAGTTTGGGGAAAATATGATGCAGGACATTTTTTATCAGCTTAACCAGAATTTATTCATTAAATGCTCACTTCAGAATGAAGTATGGGGATAAATTAGCGGAATTTGCGTAGTCTTTATTGTTTTTAAGTACATACGTTTCAGTGGCCCCCACAAGGGTGCCACCAAATATCCGACTCTATACATATGTTATTGCAGTAAAGACTCTTACTCATTTTAACTATGCCGTAGTAGAATGATTTATCTGGTAAACCCCTTATGAATAATCTATTCACCATAATAATAATTATTTGAATATCCCAAATAATTTTGTAAGTATTACCCATCTCTCCTGAATTGTGTATTATCATTCTAGCATTCACATATTTCTTTCTGACTTAATCCTTATCCTTCGTCTTTGTTTTTGGTTGATTTGCATTCTTAATGCTTCTCTTTTCTTGTGTGTAATGGTAATAATAACCTGTTGTAACCATCTGTGATTTTGTTTGAGGGAAGTCAAGGTTACGCCATGGAGTGACCGCCTGACCTTGAACTGTTTGCGGAAAAAGTGTTCTGTTCTGTTTGGTTCTTGCAGTGTTTCGACATCACTTTATTTGGAGCATACTAACTGACTCACCGTAATTATTTATTACCTGAAAAACTTTCTCACTGTATACTAACCAGACGGCACTGTTAAAGCACTTTTACATTTTGGACATAAGTTATTACTGTTGAATAGTACTCCATATTCTATCAAACTGTTTAAACATTTGTGGAATATAAGTTTTGACTGTGAGTAACTCAAGGAAGTCTGACAAACTGTACGGAAGAAAAGATAGGCCAAAATACTCGAGTTTTGGTCATTTTGTAGTCCATGCTGATAATGATGCGGATTTAAGCTACCAAATTATCATTTTGGAAACAGAGGTGGTGTAGATACTTCTGTAGATAACTAAGTAATCTTGCAAGTGTTTGTACTGTTCCGTAGGGGTTTGTAAATTACAAGAGACCTACCGAGTTCTGACCGACCCAAATGAAAAACTTCTAAAACTTCCAGAATTTATCACACTTCTTGAGGTTAAATTCATGTGTACAATTGCACAGATGCACTCAGCTGCAGCAAAAACATGTCATAATTTATTTAATCCCTTCTATGTGCACATGAGTCTACTAAACAGCTAATTCAAACTGGTACATTCAGGTGTTTTTCAATAATACCATAATTTTCATCTGCTGTATACATCTACTGTAAATCACTACATTTTCATTTGATTTACTATTATGCGTTTCATAAGTTGTCCATTTTCATTTTATAACTTATTGTTTACTGGTTTTGCTTTTATACATCATACTTCTCACAAATCGAAGTAGTGAAAAAGAGTTAGGTAATCATATTTACACTGCTTTATGGGCTTGTAAGAATAACGACAATTTAGTGGTTATGCAGCATGAAATGATTCTTTAGATAATTTACAAACATGTTTCATGATTTCAGATAAGTGAGACTGTGAAAACAATCAGTACATATATAGAACGAATAAAGGATTCATATATCTCTGTTAATATTCCTATGAAAGAAAGTGAATTTAGTTATGAAGCGCCTTCACTAGCTACTTTTATTTCTGTCACAGGTCCTAACAGGAACTGTCAAGTAAACAGAAGGAGTACGCTCAAAAGATGACATACAGTTCAAACCTATTTGAGTAATTTTTACAAAGGGATATTCTTTTAGTTATACTAGTAAGTATCACACAGCATATGGTTCTCCTCTGAACTGTTTTTCTAACATATTATTTTCAGTTTTTAATGACATATGATTTGAGTGAGTTAAGTAGTTTTAGGAAGTGAGGGAGCAACAGTATTTCCCAATCTCATAGATAATACCTTCTTATATTAATATGTTATCCCCTAGGAGTCGATGGAAGCTGTAGTTTGTTTTCAAATCATTCTAAAATACCACTAGTCCCTGTTGAGTACTAGGAATAATAATGATGCCTGATGTAGGGTAAGGGGTAGTAATGATGAATAGATGTGAGTACGTTGACAGAATGAATTCGCTTCTAACCGATGAGAAGAAATTCTAAGCCTAAGAACTTAAAAGATTTAGTTTGGAAGGCTAGAAAGCAGATAATAAATACATTTAAGGAACTGAGAAGAAATACAGTAATCTCACAGGCAGCCTACAACTGTCTTAAACATATTGGGAGAAATGCTTCACGGTTGTTTGGTTTACTCTTCCTCTCCACCCAGTCCTAGACAAGTTAATTCCACCTACTATGGAGTCACAAAGTGGCTAGGTGAACTCCTCCAACCATTACACAACAAAGTAGTAAGTCATAGTGTTAAAAGCGTCTTTGGATTCATTTCTAACTTACATGATGTTAATGTAGATGGGAAGTAAATGCTATCTTTAAATGTCACATCACTGTTCACCAATGTACGACTTACGGAGACTGTGGAATTCATATTGTCAACAAACACAAGAAAAGAAGTTCTATATCAGAATTCTAATAATTAGTCTCAAAGCACTGCTTCTAAGATACACCATGAATGTACACTTCACATTCAACAGTCTTTACTACAGACAAATTGATGGTATTGCCATGGGTTTTCAATCAGGCTTAATTTTAGCAGATTTCCTTGTTGCCAGTCTTGAAAATAGTCCATTGAAACAAGTAATAGATAAAATGGATTCTTATTTTCGTCATGTTGATTATACGTTTATTATTCTTGATGCGAAAGTCCATAGGAATGAAATGTTAATAAAATTTAATGATTCACATCCATCGCTCACGTTCACTTATGAAGACGAACGTGATGGTAAATTACACTTTCTTGATGTCTTAATCGATACATAATTAGTTTGGTCAGATGCTTCATGATCAGAGCAGGAGGGACCTGTACCGTTGACTCCCTAGGAAATAAAATTGGGATACAGCCGAAATACGCTGGTTCAAATGGGTTATCCTAGTAGATTTGTAAGAAGGCATATGGATATCATGTATAACAAATGGAAACTGACAACGGTTAAAAAGAAACAACTGTTCATAAAACTACAATTCACTGGGAACATGGCTAGTGAAGTCCTACATCTAAGATCATGTAGAGTAATAAAATGGACTTATACTGTTGCCCCTCGCCTTGATTTCTCATTTCCGAGTCAATCGATAAGTACTGCTCAAGCAAAAGATGAAATGCCTAGCTGTGTCAGTTCTGTGTACACTTATAAATTTAGCTGCTTACGCGGAGAAAGTTGCACAGGGCGAAAAACAAGACAGGTCAATAAATTCACTACTAAGAATCTTCCTTCATGGTGCGGAAAAGGCCAAATAAAATGCATAAGAGGTCCTCTTTTGTTTCGTTTGGTTGATAACGGTTAGCAAGTGTACAAAAGAAGTGCCTTTAGAGTTGTCTATAGCATTCCGTTGAACCTTCCGAACAGAATTCGAACTCGCCTCTTCCCCCTAAATAAAGCTATGAAAATTCGAGAGAACAATCCTCGTTTTGCATGCAAGAGAAATTTTTCCTACCTTTATCTCTCCCTTGAACTAAAATTATGCTAATTTCAAAATTCCCACTCTTTTTGATTTTCCAATTCTTTCATACCGTTATATTTAGTTAAACTCTGACTACCTATTCACTTCACCTTCGGTATCACGTAACTTTTAGGATTTGACCAAATATGTTTGTTGGATTATTTACGTGAACATACTACCCTCGTTATTCTTACTGCCATCTGCATAAACACCCCATACTTTTGTTGTCGTTGACCTTATTATCATGTTTGCGATTATTATAAACATTGTTATTACTAACGTAAAATTATTTTTGATCCATGAAGTCACCGTCATTAGTTAATTTTTTATATAGAAAACTATATACATAGCGTAAAGCCTAAAGATCTAAATGAAAATGATATTGTCCACTTATATTTCATGTTTTGATTTTAACAATGGAAATATTTAACGATGTTTTTATCCATGAATTATTATTATATCATTATTGTACTTACTTCATTAGGAGAATTTAAATTTCCCAAAGATTCAGCATCTTTATACGATGGGGAGTTTACACGATAACCTGGTAATTGTGAACAGCTTGCCTTAAATGTTGAGCAGAGTTGATTGTTTTGTTTGAGTGCGGAATTTACCCCCATCAATAACTTGAGCTCATGATCAGGTGAATCTTAACAAAATACAAAAAATATGGCATTTTGTCTTTCGTTGAAAAATAAGAATAGTATTACTTTCAGTGAAAATTTCTTCATGAACCAACATTATTTATAGATCACTGAAACCCATGGAGTACTTGACAGCTGTTTTTATAGTCTATATTAACATTAATCCAAATTCCTATAAAAGCTCATTAGCTAAATATAAACCTTTAGCTCATTGACGGCTACCGGATAGATATTCAAAGCTGTACTGAAAAGTCATGTTTACCATGTCAAGGTGAAGTGGACGCTCTTTGAAGACATTGGTCAAGGGTACCACTAAATCACGAGTTGACAAAGTTAGGATTTACCGGTGACTGAATTCCAGTTCTTTTGACTTTATGGTTAACGAGTTTGGTCTCATAATCTGAAGGTCCTGGATTCAATCCCTGATGGGGTAGTGAGTACTCACCGCTGAAAACTTCCAAAGTAGGACAAAACAGTTGTCCAGTAATCCAACGTTCTTAATGATTTCCAACTGTTGCGGGTTCATGACGAATTCCACATTGAAATTACTTTCAGTCCCTACAAAACCTATAATCCTGATAATATCACTATTGTTAACTAGACTGACAGAAAATATTTCACTTGATACTGTTTGGTATGCATTTTGTCATGTCAACGACAATAATAATAAGATCATACACCGATTGGAACTTAAAAAAAGGAAACAAATCATGCACCTCATTAGTTATGTGCATCAGAATGATTTCAAAAATAGGTTTCATGGTGACAAGAACTTGTTCAAATCTATATCTGATCTCAAACTGGGTTCATTTAAATCTATTATTGTAGGAGCAGAACTTGAACAGAAAGGTAGAACAATTTGTCTGATTTAGTACATTATGATACAGTATTATCAACGAGATGATATTCTGAGCAATATTTATTGGTCATAATCAAAACGTACTCGAAATGACACTCAGTTATTAATTGTGTATCACTATGTGCTATAAATTTACCCAGTATGGAGTAAAAGTCTGTTAGCTAAAATACGAAATATTTTCTTCTTTCAATGTTATTCGACTGTATTCAGTACAGTCTCAAGATAGCATACAAATACATCCCTAGTCACATCACATACATTTTTCGCGTCATCAAAGTTCTTTTATACAATCCATTCTTGTTTTAGAAGGGGTATAAATACTCACTCACATTGAATTTAAGTTCATATTTCGTCAAATCAACCATCTGAATTCATGAACATTTTATGCATGTTTATGTGTTTTTATATTTCACAATTTCACACAATAAAAAGGTGAACATAAGAATAACGAATGAAAACTGTAATATGCCTAACAATCGGTTAACAAGAATCCAGTTAATCATTACTAGGCTATTGTGTCGAAGATCTCTCGACTGGGCTGAAATACAGCAAACCTAAGTAGATAAAATCTTCATTTTAGTTTTGATATTTCCCATCTGTTTTGTGAATGAAAATCGTTCTGTAGATATTTATCATTGTGGTTGTCTAGATCTCGAAGCTATTCAAAGACTATTGACCAGTTATTGACTAGCTTCTAAAATTGACTACAATACATTTAATATATTAGGGACAGACATTTATTCATCATTCATCGCACTAACTATTTAGTTTCATGAGACTGAAAAGAAGCTTCGATTGAATAATAAGCAGTAAGGAACTAGTCATTTTTTAGGAACAGACTGAATTCTATCAGTCAAGTTTTCAATGTGGCCACAATTCTAGGTAGCACTCTATAACTATGTCTTCTAGAGTGTTGTTGCAAACTTGAACGATAGAATTCAATCTGCACCAAACAGAGGACTAGAACAATGACACTTTTTGATTACTGCTTGGTGTTCAGTCAAAATATCCATTACAGTCCTACAGGAGGTCAGTCTCGAGCCCGAAAAGGTTAGTGGTACTGTCCATGACTGCGGAACTGGGTAGCCTACGTTCGAATCTCAGAAGGAACATAAATTCCTTTAAGGTAGCTGATACGCTGTGTTGTCGAATGCCAACTAACAGGAAATCAAGGCCCAAGGCTTTCTGCCAATTGCCTTTAGCCATCTGATAACAACAGTCCAGAAAAGTAACTATTGTTTATTCCTTTTAGTTCACCAATAAGTTGTAAAATGGTTGAAATAATAATGTGAATTAGTGATTATTGTCATTTTCCTTGCGCCTAAATGTTTACGGAACTTAGTTGCAACATTCGGACAGTTAGACAGCATTAATCACTAGGGTGTTTTGTCCAAAGGTGACACGAGAACAGAAGTGGTTGTATTACTGAAATTCCATCAAAGGTATGTAACATTTTAACTGTTGATAAAGTTGTTTGACAGTTCAACTTTCCATTTAAGTATCAGTTACGTAACGCAGTACTATGTATTAACTAAGAACCTTGAAAACATTTACGCTTACTGTATCGCTGCCCTCGATTACCAGCGCATCACTGATCATTCTTAGTACCAACGACCAGTTACACTTACACAAAATCAGATTTAAACATTCAAAACTCTAATTCAAAGTGCAGTAACATAGGGATGAAACACAGAAGAGAAAGAAGGCCTCGAAAAACAAAAAGATTCTACTTATAAAAATTATGCGTTGAAGTTCAAAGGAAATCTTTTAAATACCTTTTATAAATATTTTTCTTCCTGTCTAACATCTCAAAAAAGCTTAATTGATGCAAACTAAACTTATTTTAAATCCCAGTTATTCATTATACATTTTAATTCAGCAACCATGAGCTTTCCTTACCAGTCCTCTTTGAATGATGACATTAAACAGAAAATCCTATGATATTACCACTCGACTTTTAATCCTTTCTTTGTACATAGAATTTTGTAATTTATTTTTGCTATCCTTGGTATCTTCACTTTCGTCAGGCTCTTGTCTTTATTTGAATTCTCAGAATATCTGTGTAGTTTTGAGATGTCAATGAGTAGCCTTCAAAATGCTGACCTTAAATGGGATATCTAACATGGATATCCTGAAACAGTGTATTGCGTTCAACCTTGTCACCTAAAGTGTTCGTACACTGATGCGAATTTTACTACATACAGTTCTGGCAAAAATAACTGAAAAGCCTCGCTACCTATGCCTGTTGCATTTTGGAGACCCGTACTCAAGATTCCAGTGAAGTGCTTCGAATATCTTCTCTGTTTGGAAGTTCGAATAGTATGTACCACCAGCACTTATCCGGAGTTGCTGGTGTCGATGCCTCATTATGCACTAGTCCTGAATCTGCATTACTCTACTGAATCCCAGGTATACACCCATTTACGTGCCATGAGTCTGGAAGGTTATATGAGAGTGAGAAGCAATAGGCTACAAGGGTGGTACCTATTTGTTATGTCTGCTTATGCACCGACGGAATGCAGTCAGGATGCAATTAACGATGTGCTTTACATCCCAGGTTCGCCTTGCCATTTGGTAGGATTTATAAACGGCATCCTCTACAGATTGGTTTGAGTAAACTGGTAGCACCCACTTCCTCACTGAAGTACCAGACTGAGTAGCAGTCAAGGCTAGCTAGCAACCCTCCAAGGAAAATATTTATGCACACTGACTGCAACAGCAGGGCAACATGCAAATGGCGATTGAAGCCGCCTGCGGCTTGAAAGAATGCTCTGCTATAAACCACTGGGTTTCTATGAGTTTCCTACAACTTTTGCATGAATGCTGGTGCATTCCAGGAGACAGTAAGTTTACCAATATCCGCGAGGCGCTTACTCGCAAGATCATACAGTGCTTACACAAGGGTCGCGAAGCCTGCTGGTCAGAACCTGCGTTCGAGATGGAATCAGTAGCTGCATCTAGCAACAACCAGAAGTTGTACCAGCACATACGAGCCATCGGCAACAAGAAACAGGGTGTCAGTCAGATGGTCTTTCAGGCGTATGGTGTGCCATTTACCAACTTGAAAAGACGTTTGGAACAGTGAGCAGAGTACTTTCAGAAGCAGTTTAGCTGGTCACCAGCGCGATCATCCAACAGCATGAGGTACAATGCTCCATGGTCAGTCAAAACTGACTCACTGATCGAGGAGGAGGTCTGAAAGGAACTCCAATTTTTGGGGCGCCATAAGGTATGCAGTCTAGAAAATCTACTCGCGTCTCTTTTTAAAGATTGTGGTAATATTCTCGTCATGGCTATGACTGGATTGTTCAATAAAGTAGAGGAAAGTGAGGATGTTCAATTAGTGAGGAATGAAGCCATCATCGTCCCTATCCTTAAAAAGGGTCGACATAGCACGTGAGACAACCATAGATGAATTAGTTTACTACCAGTTGCATAGAGATACTGGCTGCTGTCTGTTTTCTCAGTCTGTCAAAAACACGTGAGGAGTTGATTGACGAAGGGCAGGATGGGTTTCGTTCAGGCCGTGGATGCATTGATCATGTGCTCACCCTTCGTACGTTGTTGGAATGCCATCATACGTATTGCTGGTCAAAAATCGTTGTGTTACTTGGTACTACGGTTCCCTTCCTTTTGTTGGATAGAACTTCTCTTCGAAGCTGTCTATTAGAGAGGGGGTACCTGAGAATTTTGTTAAATTCTTGAAAGCCCTATAATGAAATGCCTTAGGTAGGGTAAGGTTATACAGCTAGCTGTTTCTATTGTTCGCAATCAACAGTGCGGTTAGACAGGCTTGTTCAATCTATCCATTTTTCCTTAATTTTACCATCGATGGCATTCTGCAGTAAGCTGAAAAGGACGTGCATGGTGGTGTAGATCTGTTTCCTGGATAAAGATTTTTCGACCTGGAGCATGCAGACGATGCCATTGCACTGTATGATAGCTGCCCACATAGTACTTAATAAGTTGGCAATCAGTGTCTGTAGGTATGGTATGTGCTTTGCGTCGTCTAAGTGCAAGGTACTGTTACAAGACTGGCAGGAGCCTATAACTGCACTAACTCTTGTAGAAGAACAGCTTGAAGTTGTCGAAAAGTCACTGTACTATATTCTCTTCATTTATTTTTCTTCATTTTGCACGACCTTCCGTTTTCTTCCAAAGCTAACTTCATTAGATATGTCGACGATCTTACTATTACTGTCCCAGTAGTTTCTGCATTGGATTGTTCTTATATGAGTAGATTCTTGTGTGAATTTAACAAGAGGTCGCACCTAAATGGTCTTAAACTGAATCCATCTAGATGTTATACCGTTGATTTTAGTTTCAGATGAGAAAAAGGTTTGAGTGGAGTGATTCAGTCCCGTGATTCCTTCAATACTGACGGAACTATGATAAGGAGTAAATCAAAGATCTCTTAGCTCAGCAACAATTTCCCTTTGAATCTCCGTTGGTCGCCTTAGATCCTGTTGATTTCTAAGGAAATGTTTTGTCTGACTTATTACATAAAGAAGTTGAGACTATTAGATTGCCTTCGACCATTTCATATCATCAAATCAGTGTGCACCATGATGGCGAGCTACCTAGAATTGTGGTCACATTGCAAACCTGACTGATAGAATGCAGTCTGCATCAAAGACAGGACTAGATACATCAATCAAAGAAGTTGAGACTTTCTGGCATAACTCAACCTCTCCTCTTACAATTTAGTAATTCATGTTTTTTGCCCATTCTACTTTATTGTTCGCCCCTATTCTTCCCTGGAATTCTCAAAAAGATTTTATCATATAACATAGAACACTGAAGGCTGTAAGTAGGATTAGTGATGCGCCTTGGATTCAACTAACTGATATTATTGCCAGTAGAAACTTCAATTCTTCCAAGCAGTTGACTAAAGTTTCCTTGTCTGATACCGAACATCCACTTTGTTCGTACCTTTTCCCTTGTACACCTTTGAGTAAAACTAGAAGCAACTTCATAAGAATTTACGTTTGTACAGCTAATTATAAAAATTATACCATACCATATTTAGCAGGGGTTTTGTGTGAAGAGTCAGGTGTCAGGAAAGAACTTATAAACTTTGTAAATCAGTAACTGAACTGCAAAGCATAAGTAAAGATTATTATTACATGTATTATCTACGATATTATCTATTCATAATTCACTATGTCTCCGCCAACCTTCAGTTTTTTGTGGTTTTATTATTTTTTAATTTTATGTATCTGTTTTTGTTAAATGTATAAAAACGTTGAAAATTCCAGTCTGTATAATTATTATTGTTTGGAATAAAGTTATTATTATTCTTAAAGTAGTATCTGGGTAGTTGTGTCAGTTCTGACGGAGGTGTGATGGACGAGATCTCCAACCGTGTGGTGACAGCCGGAGTGGCATACGCCTATTTGAGCCACCCTGGGGCCGTTACTACTAAGCCTGGTTGTCAAAGGTTGGGTTTTTAATGTTTCGTTGTGCACTGTCCTGCTCCACGCCTACGAAACCTGAGATCTCCGAAATGAGAATGTTTGTCTACCATTGTATTCGACTACTGCCGTCTGGACTCAGTGGAGATAACCATTTATTGAGCTTCATCATATGGAAACACCAGCTCTGATGATTTTGACATGAGCTACGAATGTCATCCAAGAGCCTTTCGTACCAGTCTCTGTTCGCTAGCCCTAATACTGGATGGCAAAATCGGCCTATGAGTCATGGAGTCGGGAGATGAAGGATATTTTTCGGTTAGCATCAGTTGGTAAATCACGACTGCCTGGTAGGAATTCGGGAGATAGTTCGAATCGGTGGCTGAAAACGTCATTAGATATGACCAAGAATCGCAATCATTGGCAAACATGCTTCAATTTCCTTTCTTCCTGCCTTTGTGACAGTAATTCGATGAATGTTGTTTGACCTTGTTAAATAAATCTGCTTCCTTTCGAACGAAGTCCTTATTCATTCTCTACCTATATTTTCCATATGTTACTGTCTTATTATTATTGTGTGGCACATCTTCTTAGTGCCTACACTGTACCACGGTCTGCGTTTTAAATAAATAAATAACCAATTGACGTTAACAGGTGTTGATTAGGGAATATCTTTATGCGCGTTGTCGTCCCTCTATAATTGTGTTATTATCTTCTAGGGCTGTCAACCTGTACACTGATTTCAATTCTGTACTAAGATTCACGTATATTCTATGATTTTGCAATGAATAGATAATCAATGCACATTATGTGTATATAAATCTTTAAGAGGAATCAGTTCCCCCCACTTTAACTCCTTTACATATATATATATACATATATATATTATCTGTTAGAAATCAGTCTTAGTTCTAATTCCTGAGAAGTTATTCCCATTTATATTTTCATTACTGTTAGAAATGAATGAGTATATATAATAACCTCTCTCTTTACGCCCAAAATGAACATCAATACGAGTGCCCTTAAGTTAGGCGACTTAATTAATTCACCTGTCAAATATGACAGGCGAAAGCAGAAAAGAGAACAACTGTATATTATTGCTGTTGTTAAAATCAATTGTGTTGACTTATCAGTATCAGTGTAAGATGTATGGACTATTATTTTATCACCTTTTTATCACCTTCTTATATACAAAAGTGTACAGATTTACTAATGAGAGATTAAAGGTGATATCGGTGATAACTGAGGTAAAAAAAAGGTATTTAAGCGCATATCCAGATTAAAACATCATGCCTACAGCTACTTCTACGATACCTAATACTACCTGTATTGAGAACATTACTGTATGTATTGCTTGTCGTTCCAATGTGATAGAATTAGCTCTGATCCTATTAGGTAGAAAATATTTTATAGAGCAAATCTTTACACTCTCACTCATTACTCATTGCGTTGACTTAGCAGACAGCTTTTTCATAAGAAAAAATGACAACTGAATTTTGAGTGGAAATACAAGTTATGAGAAGATTTGAATCCCTTTGAAATTACCACTTGGATTTCTGCAGCTTGATTACGAAACTAAGCTGCCAGCCAGGTCTAACCAATCAAAACCAGCCTAACTTAGTAACGCTCAAGTTAGTTATGTACATTTAGTTAAGTGAGTATTTCTTAACATATTACTGTCCCATCTTTGGCCTTATTAATGTTAGCACTTGACTATTTGTACTGTTTTTTGGGTGATTTGATCCGTTTATAGTTTGATTATGGAATGTTATTTGTTAAAAGACCACTGAAAACCAGAGAGTACTGGGCAGCTGTCTCGTCCTACTTTGGGACCCTTGATCAGTACACACCTATAAACCCACCTTCAGGCACTAAACCCACGACCTTCAGGTTATGAGGCGAGCTCTTTGGAATGGAATCCAATGGCTTGCCCATCAGTTCTAACTTCTGCCAATTCGCAATACATGATGCTGCCGCCAACTTATGTTCTCACTCCCGAACTGGTGGACCCTACTGGTCACCATTTAACTGTTTAATAACCTCTAGGATGATGAGATAATATTTAATGATCTGTCTACTCTCTGTCATCATCATTTTCACTTTCCTTATCCGCCAATTAACCATAAAAGTGAAACTCTGCTCTGTTTTACCAGCTTTTCATAATTCATAATAAAGTCTGCACCGACTGACCAGATAAGCGAAAATTAACTAGGATGAAACACAGTACTACAGGTAAAATGCATTGTCTTCATTAAAAGGCATAGGTTCATCTCCTTATGTCATCAACAACTCAGGATTTTTAAATATTGGTCTGTAGGGACGAAACAGCTGTCCAGTACTACCAGGATTTTCAATTGTTCTTTGACCGGTGCCAGCTCATGATGAAAGCCTGTAACCGATTCAGGACCTGTGTTACTTTTAAGCTTGAACCTTAAGTCTTATATGCTTGTTTTCAGACAAGACATGTTATTTATGATCTATTCGTCCGTAATGTTCTGTTTATATCTATTATATAGTAGAAAATTATTTATATCGCTGGTGCATGTATTCACTATGTGGTTTAATAAAAATAAAAATTTCTGAGTTAAATTCGGATGAAATCTTACTTTTTGCCGATGGATTATCCAAAAGACGTTCTTCAACACGCTTCAATCGACAAATTGTTCCAGTCTGACTAGATCCTCTTTGATGATTCAAGAAATCATTCACTTTTAAAGGTGATGAATGAAATGGATGAGTTGAATTAAATAATTTCTGTGATCTTAGGGTACCAGGCTTTTGGGGATCTAATGCTGCAACCATCCACTGATTTCTATCTGAATTTGATAAAAGGCTTCTTAACATTTTATCCGAATCTGTTGGTTGGGATGAATTACAAAGGTGATTTGGTGGAGGATAACTATTTAGGCTGCTTTCACTTAGTAAATGATCAGCTCCAGGCGAAAGTAAGCCATCTGCTTCAAGCATTCCAGAATCTCTAAAAACTTCTTCAAGATGGTGTGTATGACTAAAACCTTGTCTATAAAATCTAGGATCATTTTGTTCACATTGAACTGCACTTCGATGTGTGCATGCACCACAGCGTAGAAATAAAATTGCCAGTATAAGTATCAGTGATATTATCAATGTTACAGCGACCATAATTACAATCACAATTAAATCATTTTCTAAGTATGTTCCATGTCCAACAACTGTATTCCTTTGTCTAACATGTTCACTATCTCCGCCTCCATCGCCATCGTTTTCACTGAGTAAATAAGCACTTGCTTGTGATAAATAACGAAAAATATCAATCTGTAAAACTCGATGGTTAACTTTAGCCGGACGACCACGATCACTTGCTTCTAAAACTAACTTAATTGATCCTATGTCGTCGACAGTCATTGACCGACCAACATAAATAGCCCCACTTATTGAATCCAATTCAAATAGATTCCCAACAGTATGTGTCGGTATGTATCTTAAATCTGATTTCGGCATGTTTTGTGCATTAGTGTCAAGATTATTGTCAGAATAAGTTGAAGGACTTGTCACAGGAGCCCTGTCCACAACGTCAGGTATATTAGATATGAAACTTGTTTGAACCAATCGATAAGCTACTTCACCATTTTCATTTTCGTCTGGATCTTCAGCAACCAACTGAGCTACACGATAACCAACTGGTTCATTAATAGTCAAATTTACAATCTGATGGTTATGCGCTGGAAATATCCATTGTGGAGAGTTATCGTTCACGTCAATTAAGTGTATGTGGATTTGTGTCGAAGATGATAACGTCGGCAATCCAGAATCCATAGCGACAAGATAAAAATTATACGCTGGCACTTTTTCTCTGTCCAAATTACCACGTGACACATAAATATATCCTTTAGTTGACACGCGAAATTCATGAATCGTCTGACCTTCTATTTGTGGTTTAATTAAATAATGAATCTGAAAATAAAATAAAAGTATTCACTATTAAAGTTACCAAATAATAAAACAATTTTTGAATAGAAAATTTAAACAGGTCCTTATATCCTAAGATCTGTTGAACACTTATTTATCTTAGGTTATTGTGAATTGCAAACACATTTAAAAAATTAATAATTCTTAACTCAGTGGTGAAAGGAACTACATATAAGGATCATTAAAACGTAGCCTAAAGAGGTTAAGTAGCTGTGAATTATTCCAAGACTTGTGGAAGCTGTTACACTGACAACTACTCATGAATAAGCCAGTGTACTTTTGAGAAAATTTAATTCTTAAAGTATACCATTCTGGTCTAGTAAACTTTATTTTCTTCATGCAGATGAAGTTTCCATTCCTAGAGTTCCTAGGGGAACATGCTTTTGAGGTTTCAGAGTAGGTGGTGGTGTTTTACGGTGCTCGCGATTTTCCCCCACTTCCGGGCTAACTGCCGACCAGTAAGCTAGGAGAGATTTAGAAGCCCGTAGTCATGGAAGAGAACTCTGAAGGGCGTTCTATCGCTGAATCCCAACGTACAGATGAATGATAAAGTATAATTTACCCGATGGTTTAACTATGCATCTGATTTTTTAGCTAATAAAATATTAGCCACTTGGTCGATCATCAAATTAAGACTAAGACCAGCATTCACTTTAGTTCTATAGCTCAAACCAATAAGAGACAGCTTCTCCATTCTACATATTCATCTAGCCTTTCCTTTTTAAAGCAATGCTGTACTTTGACTGTGTGTCGGTGGCACAGCGGTAGAATGCTCGCCGACCACGCATGTGCTTCAGGGTTTGGTCCCTGACCGACGCACACCTTCACCTCGTAATATATACGCAGGTGAATCATTAATATTCATTATTTATTTCACACACTAGCATAATCATTGATTTCACGCATCTGCGTGATTATTGATTTAAATTACTGAATTCCCAGGGTTTGTTAATATTTTTAAAATGTGACATTGATTTTTCTAATGGTATAAATACGGAGTTTTGTTTAACATTTTCGACTGTTGTTTGAGACAGTAAAAGCTCTCATATCAACGTCCAGTCTTCTCTTTTATTTGTCTTGCGTGCCCGGCGGTATTGTTGTTGTTGTTGACGTGCGATCAGGACAGATTAGCCAGCGCATTAGTTAGATTCGCTCGTAGTCTACAAGGTCCTCATATTCACATACATAACACCTCGCTCAGCCAGTAATAAGACTGGTGAACACGGAAGGTTGGGCATGAGTCTAGCAACCCCATACCGTAAAAATAAACACCACTGCTGCTGAAACTTAGAGTCTCTAGCTTGAAGCCCTATGTTCCACTGGGAGCGTAAAAGAATTTTAAAAAATTCGACTGAAATAAGTTCGTAGACATTTGCAGTCAATCAGTAAACTAATTCATCAGTAATCTTAAAAGTTTATTGTCTTTGAAAAGTGGTTATTTTCAACGTCTCTCGGATATTTTCTACATAAATATTCTGTAGAGCTTTTCTTATCCATAAGTTCTGAAAATAAACAGTTTATACTTAAATCGGTCGACACTAAAATGTTAGAGAGAATAATTGTTTTCAATGAATTCTTCTTCAGGCTCTACACTTATAACTCCATTAACTTAAGCATACAATAGCCAGTAAGCGAAAATTAGAATTATATCAGAAATGCATTGTGGAGCAAGTATAAGATGGGATGGAACAATAGTTAGTTAGTTTTGAACATGCATGGTCAATAAGAATATGAGATAAATTGAGATGAAATGATTTAACCATTTTGTCCTGTATAAACTATGAGGATATTCAAGTTATTAAAATATTCTGTTGTTCTACAGTATACAGACATCCGTAGTTCAGCGGTAGAATGGTCACAAACCACTCACGTGGTTTGGCGTTCGACTCCCGGCTGACGCGTTCATAGACCTCACTTAGATGGTAGCAAGCCTAGTACAGACAGGAAGTTGGGCGTGAAGCTAGTAACCTCTAAAAACAATAACACAACTGCTACTGAAACTTCAAATCCCAAGGTTGAAGCGCTATCTTCTACTCGGAAAGCAAAGGAATAAAACAAAGAATGAAGAAAATACAGACATTCACTTATCTAAAAGCAAGTGAACCAATTCTATCCACTCAGAAGGGCGATATGCAAGACTTTGTGCCAACTGTATTAACCCCCTTATTAGCACTATTGCGTGGGCCGAGTGATAATCCAAAAATCTTGCAGAATTAGTTGTTTTCCTATGTTACTAAGTTCTCACCTATCATTCTTTCTATTTCGCAGTCGGACTTTAGTAGTTTGCCAAACTCATTATCCATTTCCATAGTGAATCTTATTGATTCCGCATGACTGTTTACGTGTGGAAAGTGTTTTTCACGTCGTTCTTCTTTTTGTATCTCCACCACCATTTTTTGATAATACAAATGGCTTTAGAGCTTTTTCTTTGCAAAAATTCAAAAATAGGTCAAGTATGATTATTGTTGAAGGCGATCTCATAGGTATGCTCACCTTCTCTTCAAATGTGCAATAAATTGTTGTTAGACAGAATTCTTCCCTTTTCACTACCTCTCCAATGAGTGACTGTATTCTTTTCTCTAGATTTGTCTGTCTTTTATCTAGTCTCACTTTCGATGTAGACAGCCTATTCATAAAAATACATATAGGAGCACGGAAACTAACTGGTATCTATTCGTATTGATATTCACAACCTGAACGGAATTAAACAAAACTGGATCAAACTAAGGATCACAATATCTAACACTGATGACTATCAACTGATCTAATATTGTTTTCTTGATAATAATAACAGATAAGTATGCAGAATAAACTTACAACCATATTCATTTTACTCTTATTCATTTAGAAAGCCTTCATTAAAAATGAAATCAACTGAATTGTTTTAAATGACAATTTTATAATTTTTATATAAATAATATTTTTTATATTATTCAAACTTTTGCTGATAATTCTTCAATGAACTGATCAGTTGTCAGTATGTAGTAACTTGAATATTACTTGACAAGTAATAAACTATTCAAAACAAGAGGGAAAAATTTAAAACAACTCATATCACCTATGAAACTGTTGACATAATAAAAATTTTGTTAGTCGTATAGTTTAGCAACTAGTTTCTTTCCTCTTATTAAAATAAAATCGACTAAGAAGCAGTTGAAACTTATAAACTTATTAGACAGTTTATAAAATGATAAGGCTATCTGAGATAACCTTCTTTTGGCAAAATGGATTATAAGCTTAGACGGTGAAGGTTGGAGTTCAACAAAATATATGAATCATGACAAGATTCTAACCAACAACTCCATGAGGTACGAGTTCAAACAGCTTTATTAGTAGACCTATGGAACTCAGCTATCTACTAAGTTTCTAATTGTGGAATCATTTGCAAATTGAAGGTACTTGTTAAACATGTTCATGCTTGAACTGATTATAATCATCTTTGTGAGCGATTAAACTACGAAGCACTTTAAGTCCACATTACCTTTAATGTAATCTAATGAAAAGAATGTAAAACAAATTGATTAGAACCGTCGGATTAAGCCAGCTGATATGCAAAGACATTGTGATAGTGCATGCACTCTTAATAGTGCACTTTTAAACCGTCTGTCACTTCAAAAACATTTCATATTAGTAAATTAGCAGTTGGCTTTATTTTGGAAAGGGAAGTGGGGAAAGAGTTTATTTTATTACTTATAATGTCTTGTTGACTAAGCTATACGTAATTGTCTGAAAAGTACATGTTATTCATGCTACTTTGAATTCAGAATGTCCTCAGCATTAAGTTTATAGATGTCAAATTTTGAATTTTTCTGAGAACAATGGACAGAGAACCTTCAGTTGTAGAAAATCGTTTAAATAAGCAGTGTAAGTATTGTAAGTGACCATTTTAAACCGAAGTCGAAAGTGCGGTTTTATGTAAACCTAGTAGGAGTTGCAGATTTAATAATTTACCCTACTAAGACTTCCATGTTTATTGTTGTCCACTGAGTTACAAATAGTAACCTTTCTAGTGAATGTGTAACACCATAAAGCCAACCATCAGCAGCTGAGGTAATCTTAATAATACTTCCGTTTGTTTATCTTTCTTAAGCACATTACCTCAGCAAAATGACTACTGAAGTACAAATATATTAAAGTGATAGCTCGGTTTAATGAACTAGGATATCAAGACTTAAAGAAGCTATGTTCCTTGTATTTGAATGTATTCGATCAATAAGTCATCTACGATCTGCATTTGTAACTAACTCTACAGTTTTCTGATTGCTGGAAACTGCCTCATTCAGAAATATTTTCTACTAAACTGTTGAATTCACAACCGTTCTATCACAAAACCGAAGGGTTTAGATGAATTTAGACTCACTCAGTGACAGCTTCAAATGGTTTAATTTTTTGCCTAAAACTAATAACGCTAGTAGAATGTATGGTACTATTAAAATACATAAGCCAGGTTTCCCCATAAGACCAATAGTAGATTTCAGAAATACCCGTACTTATGAATTATCAAAACACTTAGCTCTAATATTATGCCCCATTAGAAATCGTTCAAACTCTAGACTAACTAATTCATATGAGATGAAAAATAAACTAAATGACATTCAACGAGAGAGTGAACAAACAATGGTTAGTTTGGATATAACTGGTCTTTGTACTAACATACCAATCAATATGGCCTTAGAAAATGTTAAAAAAGAACTAACTGCAGATCCTGAACTCACTCATAGGACAAAGCTGCCCATTGAAGAAATTATTTTAGGGATTCAGTTATGCCTCATATCTACTATCTTTAAATTCCAAGGCAAAATATATAGACAAACAGAAGGTGTAGCAATGGGATCACCAATATCCCCTATCGTAGCAGACATATTTATGGACAGCTGGGAAAATATTGCTCTTAATACATTTAATCCTACTCCAAAAATATGGTGGAGATATGTGGATGACACTTTCACAGTGTTAAAAACAGAGCATATATCTAGCTTCTTGAC